GCAGCCCTTTGTCTTTTCTTTTCATAATAATTATATTGTCATATAATATAGTAATGCTACTACCCACAAATACTGTTCACAAATACTGTGCAACCATTCAGAAATTGTTTCACATTGTTGGACAAATTTATAGATAGATGGTTTTCAGGTGGCAAAAAAAATACCAACTTTCTGGGTTTTCGATAACTTCAGCTCACAGTTATCACTATTGAATAGTATTTGTCAATCTCATGGAAAACTTACAATACTGGAGTCTGATTTATTGATTTATTATTTTCCATATTTATATATTTTTTATTTTGATTAATGTATCCTAATCTATTTTCCATACAGATGTTACATTTGTGGGGTTTATTTTTTTTTCTTTTTTTTTTTAGCGTATTATGGGGGTACAAGGGTTAAGGTTACATATACTGCCCATGCCCTCCCACCCCCCTCCAGTAAGAGCTTCAAGTGTGTCCATCCCCCAAACATTGCACATCATACTCGTTGTGGTTGTATATACCCATCCCCTCCTCCCCCCTTTCACCCTCCCGACACCCGATAAATGTTATTCCTATATGTCCACTTAGGTGTTGATCTGTTAATACCAGTTTGCTGGTGAATACATGTGGTGCTTGTTTTTCCATTCTTGAGATACTTCACTTAGTAGAATAGGTTCCAGCTGTATCCAGGAATATACAAGAGGTGCTATATCACCATTGTTTCTTAAACCTGAGTAGTACTCCATGGTATACATATACCACATTTTATTAATCCACTCATGGATTGATGGGAACTTGGGTTGTTTCCACAGCTTTGCAATTGTGAATTGTGCCACTATAAACATTCGAGTGCAGGTGTCTTTTTCATAAAGTGACTTTTGATCTTTTGGGTAGATGGCTGGTAGTGGAATTGCTGAATCAAATAATAGATCTACTTGTATCGCTTTGAGGTATCTTCGTATTGCTTTTGTGGGTTTTTTTTTTTTTAATTTTGGCATTTTCCCAAATAGTAATGCAAAAATGGATCAAGTTCAGCAAGTAGTTACATGATTCCCATGAAATTTCCATTATTTGAAAATGTCACTTTCAATCATGACCTCCAGTAAAGAAAGCCTCATTTAAAATGTATTAACTGCCACTTTTCATTCAAAATAATAGCAAATGGTCATTAAGACTTTGTTAAGTGTTATTATTTGATTTACATAGAATCCAAATTAAACTGCAGCCTTCTTATGCTGTGAAACTTTCAACTTTCTTGATATATTCAATCACTTGGAAAACCATATGTTGTAAATAAATCTGTCCTAGTGAAAACAGTTTACTAACTAAACAATACATGCAGACTTTCAGTTCTAGAATAGACTAGCCAGAATCTCATAATAGTTTGAACAGTTTTAAAATTTTGAATAGTATTTATTAATCTCAGGAACAAATACAGATCTAAGTAGTCCCAACATAAAGTAGCTCCAATCCCTCACCCCAAAGAGGGTGAAGAATGAAACCAAAGGATTCCACAAGTCCTGAGTCAAATGCCTATCATTTTACAGTAAAGAGGATAGGCATAGAAAATAAGATATCAACTATTTGCTTCTTAGAGCCACATGTCCATTTTACCAGTCCATTTGCAATGACCGGTTTAAAACATCCGTTACATATCAGTGTTCCCTCACAAGGGGGAGGAGCAGAATTCTATCTTTTAAAAAAATAAACTACAAAAATGTGTATGGCCTAACAAGGACTTTACCTAAGTATACCGTGGTTCTGTAAGAGAATTTTTTTCCTTTTTGCAAAAAATGCATGTAGGACTATTTAGGAGTAAAGAGACATCACGTCTGTCACTAACTTTCAAATAGTTCAGATAGAGGAAAGAAACTAAATGTAGAAAATGTTAACATTTGGGGAATTGAGGGAAAGATGGTATAAAAATTCTTTGTAATATTTTGCAACTTTGTGTAAGTCTGAAATTATATCAAAATAAAATGTCAAAGGACATTATCAGGTTGAGAATTTCCCTTCTGTCCCCAGTTTGTTGACTATGTTTATCATGGAGGGTTATTAATTTTATCAAATGCTTTTTCTATGTCTACTAAGATGATGTCATTTTGTTCTTTATTCTGTTGATGTGGTGTTTTACATTAACTGATTTTCACTTATTAAACCAAACTTGCATTCTTGGGCTAAATTCCACTTGATCATGGGTACAATCCTTGTTATACATGGCTGGATTTGGTTTGTTAGTATTTCATTGAAAAATTTTACATTCTTTTTCACAAAAGATAGTGGTCTGCACTTTGACTGTCATGTCTTGTCTTTGGGTTTAGGCATATTTTAATACTCACCTCATACTGAGTTGGAGGAGAGGAATTCCGTCCCCTTCCATTGTTTTGTCAAGTTTTTGAAGAATTTGTATTAATTTGTCTTCAAATGTTTAGTAGAATTCCCCAGTGAGGCCATTTGGGACTGAGCTTTGGGACTGAGCTTTTCTTGGTGATAGGTTTTGATTAGTAATTCAGTCTCTTTACTGATAGTTTTATTTAGATGTTCTCTTTCTTATTGAGACAGTTTCAGTAGTTTGTGTCATTCTAGAAATTTTTCCATTTTGTATAATTTAATTTGTTGGCATGCACTTCTTCCAACTATTACCTCATAATCCTTTTTATTTCAGTAAGTTCAGTAGTAAAGTTCCCTGTTTAATTCCTGATTTTAGTATTCAAGTCTTCTGGGACTTTTTCTTTTTATTTTTCTTTTGGCCAGAGCTTTGTCAATTTTGTTGTTCTATTCTAAGGATAGATTTTGGTTTTATTGATTTTTCTCTATTTTTTTCTATTCTCTATGGTCTCCAATAGTCTTTATTATTTTCGCCCTTCCACTTGCTTCAGAAAATATGCTTCTTTTATCAGTGTCTTAGATGAAAGAAGGTTATTGATTTGAGATCTAGTGGTATCTTAGTAGTTGCTCTAAGGCTTACCATATAGACAATTTATCAGAATACCCCTCAAATTTATGCCAAATAAATTCCTGTGAGATATAGCATTGTTACTGTCATAACTCCATAACTATTGGTTCTTACCTCTTTTGGTGTTATTATTGTTATATATCTTAAATCTATATATGGGTCAGGTGCAGTAGCCCATGCCTCTAATCCTAGCCCTCTGTGAGGCTGAGGCGGGAAGATTGCTATAGCTCAGGGGTTCAAGACCAGCCTGAGAAAAAGGAGATCCTATCACTACAAAAAAGAGAAAAACTAGCTGGGCATGGTGGCATGCACCTGTAGCCCCAGCCTCTTGGGAAGCTGAGGCAGGAGGATTGCTTGAGCCCAGAAGTTTGAGGTTGTAGTGAGCTATGACGCCACTACACTATACCCAGGATGACACAGCGAGACTCTGTCTCTAAATACCTTAAAGTGATACAAGTGGATCTACCATTTGATCCAGCAATCCCATTACTGGGCATCTACCCAAAAGAACAAAAGTCACTGTATAAAAAAGACACCTGCACTCGAATGTTTATAGCAGCACAATTTACAATTGCAAAGTTGTGGAAATAACCCAAGTTCCCATCAATACATGAATGGATTAATAAAATGTGGTATATGTATACCATGGAGTACTATTCAGCTATATGAAACAATGGTGATATAGCACCTCTTGTATTTTACTGGATAGAGCTGGAACTCATTCTATTAAGTGAAGTATCCCAAGGATCCCAAGAATGGAAAAACAAGCACCACATGTACTCACCAGCAAATTGGTATTAACCAATCAACACCTAAATGTCCACCTAAGTGGGTGTTGGGCGGGTGGGGGGAGAGGGTGGGTATGTGTATACATAATGAGTGCGATACGCACCAATTGGGGGATGGACACACTTGAAGCTCTGACTCAAGGGGGGAGGGGGGAAGGGCAATATACATTAACATTTGTACCCCCATAATATGCTGAAAAAAATAAATAAAATAAATAAATAAATGTGTGACAAACCCAAGAATACATATTCACAATTATTAATTTATATAATTTCATGCCTTTTAAAGAAGCTGAAAGTGAAAGCATACATTTATAGAGCTTATTATATTAACTTCCTTACAAATTCTGTTTCTCTTTATTTATTCCTGAGGGTTCCAGTTAACATCTGGTATCATTTCTTTATTCCAATGCAGTTTTTCTCCCACCTATCTCCTTTGTGCTGTTCTTGTTAAGTATACCACACTTCTACATGTTATATGCCCTGCAATACAATTATATACATATTGTTTCACACAATTGTTTTCCAAAATCAGTTAAGAGGAGAAAGGAAAAAAATATGCATCTATGCTGTCTTTTATAATTCCCTTAGTGGAGCTTTGTTTTTCTATGCGGATTTGTAGTACCATCTGAGGTCACTTGAAAACCTTCTTTTAGTATTTCTTACAAAGTAGATCTGCAAGCACTACATTTCCTCAAGTCTCCAGGCTTGAACTTCTTCATATACTATTTCAATATAGTCAGTTCCTTCGAAAAGAGCTTCAGAGCTCTCTGACTTTATGGACTGCCTCTTTCCCTAGGCAAAACCTCTGAGCCATGGCTACTTCTATGGGGCAGGGGTGGTGGCCTCTGGTCTTCTCTACTTGTCTCTCCCAGCATAGAAACTCTTCCCCTGCAAGTGAACCAGAGCAAGGGTGATTAGGCCAGGTATGCTGAGCATTAAGTGGCACGTGCTAGATGTTCATGAATGTGTACAACATGTCCTTTCCCCACTTGCTACAGCTCTAAAAGAGTAAACAGCTACACATCCTGAATGTGGCTTTTATTTTAGGAAATTAGACCTAAAATTGATGTGATATCTCCTCATTCTAGGATTCTCAAACTGACCTCCAACCTTAAGACATATTCCATTATATTCCATGCATAATGGACATTTTTTTAAAGCAACAAATGGTCTCTAAGATTTCTTTCCACAAAAAAAAAGCTGAAGCTTCTGGTTGAGAAACATTGAACCCTCCCAGCTGCTAGCACACACTAGAAGTTCCTTTTATGGTTGTTGAGTCACTCTGCCTTGAACAAAAGTACTTTCTGTTTCATATTACTTTAAATTCATTTCAGAGGTGGCTCAACTTCTAATTATTTGGTCACTCTTATCCAGGAAGCTCCACAACACTGGAGCGGTAGCGAGAGACAGAGAAGTGATAGAAATCACTCCACCCAAACCGAGGAGAAAAAGAACAGGTAAGAACATTTACTACTCCTTTTTCTTTGAGGAGCTTTCTCTGCAGCTCCAAAGAGCCTCTGCTCAGGAACATGGAGCCTATAAGGTTGGGGCAGGAATGGGAAAGGATTTCTAAGGGTCAGTTAGTTTTCTTAAAAATAACCAGAACCAAGTTAGGTTACAGCTGAGCCTGAAGTAGAACATAGGTCAGATGAAATCCTGATGTTATCTGTTATGTTATGTCCCTAAGTGCCACTACTGTGCTTGTGTTGAATTAGCCACCAGCAGGCAGGGGAGAGTTTGAGATGCACTAGGATTGGTTTTCTCTCTGTTGACATTGTCTGTGTTGACTAGGGACACAATTAAACTTCGATTATCATTGATGAGGCTTGTTCTATTCTGCTGCTATTGCAGCTAAGAAATTGAAAGGGCTACAAATGGGTTCTTTTCATGAAAAGGAAAGAACAGTGAGATGCAGGCTAAGCGGCCCCCTGACACTTTTAAAGACAAAGGAAGAACAAACTGAAACCCAGAGTGAAAGATGAAGATTTAGGAAAGTAGCATATCTTTTAATCATATAGTTGAACTTTGTTTCAGAGTGGATTTCTTCCTTCAGAAATAGTATAGACTTACTAATTTAATGCCCACTCTCCCCCGCCCCCATAAAACTAGAATTCCTTCTCACTACTTTACTAAAGGGCTTCTTCTCTAAAGAATCTCCTGTACAGCCTCAGTAACGGGAACATCTTTGTTTATCTTGACCTCTCCATGCCCTCTGATGACCTTAATCCACTTTCTGAAAACTCCTCCCTAGAATTCCTTGGCAAGGCACCAGCCTCATTCATCCCCTTCTTGCCTGACAGCTCTCTCTCTCTTTTCCAGACCTTACCCTCCTCCTCCTCCCCACTCCCTCGACTCGCGACCTCTTTCTATTTCTCCCTCTCTTTCCCTAACAACTAGAAAAACAGAACACAACAGAAAATCTAAACGTGTGTGGCTGGAAATAGAGAAGGTTTCCTTAAACTACTTCCATCCAGCTCTCTGGATCTGCATCCTGATCTTTAATCCTTATTGCATAGTCTTTACTGGAAACATTCAGTATTCACAATTGTGCACTCATACCACACTGAGTTAGAAGCTAATTTACAGTGAAGATAATAAAGCTTAAGTTTCAGGGACCCTCTCTTGCATATGCCCCTTCCAAGCTTTTGGAAGGGGCCTAGTGCTGTGTTTCACATGGTCACATAATTTGATAAAATTTTCAAAAATAGGTTATATTGGTTCCACTTCCAGAATGTCAATGTGAGGGGTTTTGTGAGTCTTCATTCCCATAATATAAACATAACTATTAACATTTAGAGTTACAGAAAGGAACACATCTTAAAATATTTAGAAATTGTGCTAAGGGCATTCATCAAACAATGAAACATTTATTCATGAGGGTCTTTATTCAATGTAAGAATTAATGAGTAAATAAATCAATATTGAATTTATTACATATAGCCAGGATGCAAAATAAATTCTGTAAATCCTATTCTATCTTCTATTCATTGGTGCAAATTTTTAAATAAGAATCCAAAAGGAAAGTTTTTCACAATAAATTAAATGAAAGATTTGGGTCATGAGAATAGTTGAATGTTGATAAGTCATTGTTATACCAACATTTTTTTTAATGAACTACATTGATAATACTTCCACAACTTTCTCAAATTATAGAAATTTACCCTCATATATCTCACTGATTGATGCACACAAAAATTTCAGAAATTGTATGACTCCATCTGTAGTTGCAAAAGACTGGAAATTCTCCTAAGCAAAGTAACTCAGGAACAGAAAAATAAATGCTACATGCTCTCACTTATAAATGGGAACTAAACTATGACTACACAAAGATACACAGAGTTGGTATAATGGACACTGGAGACTCCAAAGTGGGGAGGTTTGGAGGGGGTGAAGAATGAAAAATTACCTATCAGGTACAATGTACATTCAGGTGGCATGCACACTAAAATCCCAGGCTCCACCACTGTACAATATATACATGTAATGGAATTCAACTTTTACCCCAAATACATTTTTTAAAAAGAAAGAAAAAAGAGTGGAAATTCTCATTCATCCCATAACTTCCCTTGCAGACAAGGGAAGACCTGGACATGGCCTCAGAGATCCACATGCCAGGCCCAGTGTGCCTCATTGAGAACACCAAAGGGCAACTGATGGTTAATCCAGAAGCCTTGAAGATCCTGTCTGCCATTGCCCAGCCTGTGGTGGTGGTGGCTATCGTGGGCCTCTACCGCACGGGCAAGTCCTACCTGATGAACAAGCTGGCTGGGCAGCAAAAGGGTGAGTAGCACCAGCAGAGCTCTGGCAAGTCCCTTCTGTGCACCTGCACAGTCAGCATTCAGTCTGGGGATCTGAGGAGGCAAAGTTAGAGGTGGGGATGAATACTGAAAGCTTTCTATCCATCAATGTACTCTTATCTTCACTCTGTTCTAGGGGATAAGAGTCAGCTCCCTAACTCTTCCCACTATGCCTTAGTTTCCCCTTTTAAAGGAATAAATTATTCTTTCCACAGGAGAAAAAAAATAATTAGTATACATAATAAACTACAAATCATTTATTATTAATAAAACTTTCATGTGGTAACAGCAAGTTTACATTGATCTTCAAGGTTAAAAAAATGTCAGTCTGCATAGTATATTCTTTTTGTATTATTATAAAATATACATAACATAAAAATTTACCCTTGGAACCATTTTTTAAGCACACAGTTCTGTGGTATTAATTAAATTCATATTGTTTTGCAACCATGGCCACCATCCATCTCCAGAACTTCTTCATCTTCCCCAACAGAAATTCTGTAAACAAAACTCCACATTTGCCCATCTCCCTCCCCCCCCACCAATCTTCATTCTGTCTGGATGACTTTGCCTACTATAGGAACCTTATATAAGTGGAATCATGACAATATTTGTCCTTTTGTGACTGGCTTGTTTCAATTTATATAATATCTTCAAGGTTCATCAATATTGTAACATGTGTCAAAATCTCTTCCTTGATAAGGTTGAATAATTGTATGTGTATGCCGATATGTTTATCCATTCATCTGTCAATGGACACTTGGATTGCTTCCACTTTTTGTCCATTATAAATAATGCTGATATGAACATGGGTGTACAAATATCTGTTTGAGTCACTGCTTTCAATTCTTTTGGGCATATACCCAGCAGTGACATTGCTGGCCCATTTCAGTCATTCCACGCTTAATTTTTTAAGGAACTGCCCTACCACTTTCCACACTGTACCATTTACATTCCCAAAAGAAATGCAAAAGGCTTCTAATTTCTCTACTTTCTCACCAACATTTGTTATTTTCTTTCTTTCTTTTTTTTTTATAGTGGCCATCCGAATGGGTGTGAAGTAGAATCTCCTGAGGGTTTTGATTTGCCTTTTCCTAATGACTAGTGATGCTGAGCATCTTTTCATGTGCTTCTTGGCCATTTGTACATCTTCTTTGAAGAAATGTTTATTCAAGTCATTGCTCCTTTTTAAACTGGTTGTTTGTTTGTATTGCATTGTAGGAATTTTTTATATTTTGTAGATATCAATTCCTTATCAGATACATGGATAGCAAAGAGTTTCTCCTATTCCATTTATTGTCTTTTTTACTCTATTGATAGTGTCCTTTGGCACACAAACATTTTCAATTTTGATGAAGTCCAACTTACCTACTTTTTCTTTCATTGGCTATGCTTTTGGGTCATATTAAACAAATCATTGCCAAATCCAGCATTATGAAGTTTTTTCCCCTGCGTTTTCTTCTACAAGTCTTCTAGTTTTAGCTCTGATGTTTACTCCTTTGATCCACTTAGAGTTAATTTTTGCATGGTATAAGATAACAATCCAACTTTTTTTTTTCTTGCATGTAGATACCTAGTTTTCCCAATGGCATTTGTTGAAGAGACTCTCCTTTCTTAATTGAATTATCATGGCACCCACATTGAAAATAATTTGACTATATATGTGAGAGTTTATTTATGAGCTCTCTATTCTCTATTGTATTCCATTGGTCTATATGTCAGTCTTTATGACAGTCTTTATGTCTTTTAAATACCATGGTTTTGTAATATGTTTTAAAACTTAGTGTGAGACTCCAACTTTGTTCTTCCTTTTTAAGATTATTTTGGCTATTTGGGGGATTTCTTGGAGTTTCATATAAAAATTAGGGTGGATTTTTCTATTAATATTTATATGAAATAATTCATTGGAATTTTATAAGGATTACGTTGAATCTTTATATCATTTTGGGCAGTAGTGACATCTTAAGAATATTGTCTTCCAAACCATAAACACAGGGTATCTTTCTACACATTCACATCTTCTTTAATTTCTTCAAGAATGTTTTTACTACGTAAGTCTTTCACCTCCTTGGTTAAGTTTATTCCTCAATAGTTTGTTATTGTGATGCTAGGGTAAATAGAATTGTTTTCATAATTTCCTTTTCAGATTGTTCATTGCTAGTGTATAGAAATGCAATTAATTTCTGCATCTTGATTCTGTATGCTGCAACTTTGCTGAATTCTTTTATTAGTTCCAATAGATTTTTGTGGAATATTTAAGGTTTTCTGCATGTAAGATCATGTCATATGTGAACAGAGATAATTTTACTTTTTTGTTTCCAATTTGGATGCCTTCTATTTCCTTTTCTTGCCTAATTACTCTGGATAGGACTCCCAATACTTTATGGAACAGAAGTGATAAAAGTGGGCATCCTTTTCTTATTTCTGATAAGCAAAAGCTTTAAGTCTTCATCATTGAGTATGAAGTAGGCTGTGGGTTTTTCACATATGGCTATTAATATGTCAAGGTATTTTCCTTGTGTTTCTAGTTTATTGCTTGTTTTTTCTATGAAAGAGTCCTGAATTCTTTCTTGCATTAAATATTCAAACTTTCCTATTTCTCTGATTATAAGATCAGTAGTGATTGTGGTTTCAGTTATGTCTCTTAGTTACGCTACTTTTGCATCAATTTCCAGAAATGCCCACTGTTTAATCTCCTTCACCTCTTACTCCCTCTCTCCTTTGCAGGTTTCTCTCTGGGCTCCACAGTGCAATCTCACACCAAAGGAATCTGGATGTGGTGTGTGCCTCATCCCAAGAAGCGAGAACATGCCTTAGTTCTGCTAGACACCGAAGGCCTGGGAGATGTAGAAAAGGTAAGGGTCAAGGATTCAATTTTTGAATAAGTCCTTCATCTATGAATATTTTATGTACGTTTTAGTTTTTCCTTTAAAAAGAACTTGCTCTAAACCATTATATGTCTTCTCATTTCTGTTTACATGGCATGAGGCCAAGTTTAGCAACCAGAGGTGAAAACAATTTTCAAAAGGCAGAATACTAGCAGAAAAGCATAGTGGTAAATAGACAATATTCTACTAACAACAGACTATAAGTTATGCAAGTTAACACAGTCGCATGAAGGTAGCACAATAAACACGATGTCACGAGTCATCCTGCAGAGAATTTATTTAAAGATGTGGGTACTGGTTGAATCTTTGGGGTTTTCTAGGTATAGCATTATGTCATAAGCAAACAGTGAGAGTTTGATCTCTTCTCCCATTTGGATGCCCTTAATTCCACTCTCTTGTCTGATTGCTATAGCATGGACTTCCAGCACTATGTTGAATAGAAGTGGACATAGTGGGCAACCTTGCCTTGTTCCTATTCTAAGTGGGAATGCTTTCAATTTTTCCCCATTCAGCATGATATTGGCTGTGGGTTTGTCATATATGGCTTGTATCATTTCTAGGTAAGCCCCGTCTATACCTATTTTGTTGAGCGTTCTTATCATAAAAGGGTGCTAATTTTGTCAAATGCTTATTTTGTGTCTATTGAGAGGATCATATGGTCTTTGTTTTTGCTTCTGTTTATATGGTGATTTGCGTATGTTGAATCATCCCTGCGTCCCTGGGATGAAGCCCACTTGGTTGTGATGGATTATTTTTCTTGACAGGGATCTGGATTCGATTGGTTAGGATTCTGTTGAGAATTTTTGCATCTATATTCATAAGGGATATTGGTCTGTAGTTTTCTTTTTTTGTTGCATCTAAATGAATTTGGTAAAAAGTCTCAGGATACAAAATCAATACACAGAAATAAGAGGGTCTGACTGACATTTACAGGACATTCTACCCAAAATCCACTGAATATACATTCTTCTCATCAGCTCACGGGACATTCTCTAATATTGACCATATCCTAGGACACAAAGGAAATCTCAAGAAATATAAAAAAATAGAAATCATACCATGTACCTTCTCAGATCACAATGGAATAAAACTAGAAATAAACCCTAACAGAAACACATTTCTACACAAAAACGTGGAAATTAAACAACTTCCTACTAAATGATTACTTCATAAATGAAGAAATCAAGATGGAAATAAAAAATTTCTATGAAGAAAATGACAATGGAGAGACAAGTTATCAAATCCTCTAGGACACAGCTAAAGCAGTTCTGAGAGGACTGTTTATCTCATAAATGCCCATAACCAAAAGTCAAAAAGATCACAAATAGACAATCTAATGAAATGACTCAAAGAACTGGAAAAAGAAGAACAGACCAATCCCAAACCCGCAGAAGAAGTGAAATCAACAAGATCAAATCGGAACTAAATGAAATTGAACACAGGGAAGCTATTCAGGAGATTAATAAAACAAAAAGTTTGTTCTTTGAAAAAATAAACAAAATTGAAATGCCATTGGCTAGTTTAACGAAAAGCAGAAAAGAGAAATCTCTAATAAGCTCCATCAGGAATAAAAAAGGAGATATCACAACTGATCCCAGAGAGATACAAGATATAATTTATGAATACTACAAAAATCTTCATGCACACAAACTGGAAAAAGTGGAGGAAATGGACAAATTTCTAGAAACACACAGCCTCCCTAGGCTCAACCAGGAAGAAATAGATTTCCTGAACAGACCAATCTCAACAGCTGAAATAGAAAAAGCAATTAAAAATCTCCCTAAAAAGAATAGTCCTGGTCCAGATGGTTTCACACCTGAATTTTACCACACTTACAAAGAAGAACTAATACCTATCTTGCAGAAACTATTCCACAACATCGAGAAGAATGGAAACCTCTCCGACACCTTTTATGAAGGGAATATTACTCTGATACCAAAACCAGAAAAGGATGCAACAAAAAAAGAAAACTACAGACCAATAGCCCTAATGAATATAGATGCAAAAATTTTCAACAAAATCTTAGCTAACCAAAGCCAGACGCTTATCAAAAAAATAATCCATCACGACCAAGTGGGCTTCATCCTAGAGATGCAGGGATGGTTCAACATATGTAAATCTATAAATGCAATTCACCACATAAACAGAAGCAAAAACAAAGACCACATGATTCTTTCAATAGATGCAGAAAAAGCTTTTGACAAAATTCAACACCCTTTCATGATATGAACACTTAAGAAAATAGGCATAGAAAGGACATACCTAAAAATGATACAAGCCATATATGACAGACCCATAGCCAACATCATACTGAATGGGGAAAATTGAAAGCATTCCACTTAAGAACTGGAACCAGACAACGGCTGCCACTATCTCCATTCTATCAAACATAGTCTGGAATTTGGTACAGCAATCAGACAGGAAAATGGAATTAAAGGTATCCAAATAGGGGGCAGAAAAGATACAAGTTCACTGTTTGCTGAATATGATATTATATCCAGAACCCAAAGATTCAACCAAGAAACTCCTAGAACTGATAAATGAATTTGGTCACTTCAGGATACAAATCAATACACAGAAATCAGAGGCATTCATATACACCAACAACATCAAATTGAGAACCAAATCAAAGACTCAATTCCCTTCACAATAGCAACAAAAATTAAAGTACCTAGAATATACTTAACCAAGGAGGTAAAAGACCTCTACAGGGAGAACTATGAAACACTGAGGAGGAAATAGCAGAGGTGTAACAGATGAATCCATACCATGCTCGTGGATCAGCAGACTCAATCATCAAAATGTCTAGATACCAAACTATCTACAGATTCAATGCAGATACCTATTAAAATCCATCAGCATTTTTCATGATATAGAAAAAATATTTTACACTTCGTATGGAACAAAGAAGACCCAGATATCAAAGCAATTCTAGGCAACAAAAACAAATGGGAGCATTAATATGACAGTATCAAACTAACTACAAGCGTGTAGTAATTTAATCAATCTGTGTATTGGCACAAAAATAGAATTATGTGACCAGTGAACAAGATCTGAGAATCTGATATATAAACCATCTTCATATAGCATGTAATCTTTGACAAAGGCAACAAAAAAACATACGCTGGGAAGAATCCCTTTTTCAATGAAATGGTGGCATGGGACAAAACTGGGATAGCCAACTTTAGTCAGGCTATAAAGCAGGACCCACACCTTTCACTCTCTCACAAAAAGTCAACTCACATCAGATAACAGACTTAAACCTAAGGTATTGAAAACTACTTAGATTGTAGAGGGAAAAGTTGGAAACACTCGCCTAGACAATCGGGCCTAACAGGCAAAGAGTTTTGAAGAAGTCCCAACAGGCAATCACAGCAGCAACCAAAATAAATAAATGGGACATGATCAACTAAAAAGCTTCTGCACAAAGAAAATAGTCCATGAAGTGAAACAAAGAACCAAAACCTACAGAATGGAGAAACATTTTTGCATCCTACGCATCTGATAAAGGGGCTGATAACTAGAAAGTACTTAGAATCACTCAAAAATCAGCAAGAAATCAAATAACCCTACTAAAAAGTGGGCAAAGACTTGAACAAAAGCTTTTCTAAAGAAGACAGAAGAATGGCCAACAAACATATGAAAAAATGGTCAACATCTCTATATCCAGGGAATGCAAATCAAAACCACAATGAGGCCGGGCGCGCTGTGGCTCACGCCTGTAATCCTAGCATCTCTGGGAGGCCGAGGCGGGCCGGATTGTCCAAGGTCAGGAGTTCAAACCAGCCTGAGTGAGACCCTGTCTCCACCATAAAATAAAGAAATTAATTGGCGCAACTAAACTATATATAATATAATAAAATCAGCCGGGCGATGGTGGCCCGTTGCCTGTAGTCCAGCTACTGCGGGAGGCTGAGGCAGGAGGATCTGGCTTGAGCCCAGGAGAGTTTGAGGTTGGCTGTGAGCTAGGCTGACACCACGGCACCGTCACTCGTACAGCCTGGGCAAGAAGCGAGACTCTGTCTCAAAAAAAAAAAAAACAAAAAGAAAAACCAGCAATGAGATATGCATTAACTCCAGTGAAATGCCTTTATCAAAACGTCCCCAAACAATAAAATGTTGGTGAGGATTGCAGAGAATGGAAACTCCTACACTGTGGACTTGCAACTAAGTTAACCTCTGGTGAAGAGGCAAGATGGAGGATACCCTAAAGCGGAGTACAAGGTAGATCAGCATTGATGCGAGGCACATCCCAGTACTGGGCATTGACCCAAAAGATCCAATGACACTGCTAAGAAAGGACTGGCAGTCTGAAAGGTGTTATAGCAGCACGATTCCAATTGCCAGAAGCGTGTGTGAACGAAACCCGAAGTGGCCCATCAATTCATGAGTGGATTAATAAAATGTGGTATATGTGTACCATGGAATACTACTCAGCTTTAAGAAACAATGGTGATATAGCACCTCTTGTATATTCCTGGATACAGCTGGAACCCATTCTACTAAGTGAAGTATCTCAAGAATGGAAAAACATGCACCACATGTACTCACCAGCAAATTGGTATTAATGGATCAACACCTAAGTGGACATATAGGAATAACATTTATCGGGTGTCGGGAGAGTGGGAGGGGGAAGGAGGGGATCGGTATATACAAACATAATGAGGGAGATGTGCAACGTTTGGGGGAAGCTCTGACTCAAGGGGGGAGAGGGTCATGGGCAATATACATAACCTTAATATTTGCACCCCCATAATATGCTGAAATAAAAAAATAATAATAAAAGCAGAAAACAATAAAATAAAAATAATAATAAAATAAAATAAAGATGTGGGTACTGAACCCTCATGACTTGGTGTTTAAATTTAAACTTTGTCACTAATTTAAAGGCCTTAAAATTATTTGACTTCTTTTAGCCTCAGCTTTATAATCTATAAAATGTATGTAATAGGTCTAGATTTTCCTCATGGTATTGCTTTGAACATCTAACAAGATAAATAATTTCAGCAACAGGTGCATAATAATTGTGCAATAAAATAGCTACAAGTGTTATTAATCTTATATAAGTCAATGTTGCTATTAAAAAAGAAGAGAATTTTTAAAATATTAATTGTATTTACAGCTTTAGAGTGCCAGTCAACCTTGACTGTTTATTTTGCAATGATTATTACCTGCCAATGATCATAAGAGGACCTAGTGAAAATCAGTTTAAGCCAAAAATACTAATCAAAAAATGACCCAAAGTCCAAGAACTATGGAGAATCATTTTTGTTTGTAATTGAATTCCTTTTATTGATCATTCATCTAAAAAAAATCCTCTAATGTATGAACATACTTTTACTACTGATCATCTGGAAAGTACCATGAGAATGAAATATGCTCCTTATCCAAATATGTTATGATTTCCAGGGTGACAACCAGAATGACTCCTGGATCTTTGCCCTGGCCATCCTCCTGAGCAGCACCTTTGTGTACAACAGCATGGGAACCATCAACCAGCAGGCCATGGACCAACTACAGTATCCTTTTGTGGTCCTGAATAGTACAAAAGTCAGAGGGGAGACCTGTATTAATAAACCAGCTGCCTGACTGTGAGTCTTGGGGAATTTAGCTCAAAAAAAGGAAACATAAAAAACAATTCAAGTACAGGGGAAAGATCCCATGTATCTACTTTAGAATAGAGGTTAAGTAGAATACGGGTTAAGTTCTTAACCCGTATTCTACTTTAGAATACAGGTTAAGTTCAAAGGCAAAATGAGAGTTGGGGAATATGTGTGTACCTCATACAGGATGGTGGTACTCTTCGTTTTGCCACTTTTCCTTAGTTAACTACTCAGCTATGTGACAGAGCTGACAGATCAAATCAGAGCAAAATCCTCACCTGAAGAGAATGAGGTTGAGGATTCAGCTGAGTTTGTGAGCTTCTTTCCAGACTTTGTGTGGACTCTGAGAGATTTCTCCTTGGACTTGGAAACAGATGGAAAAACCATCTCAGCAGACCAGTACCTGGAGCATTCTCTGCAGCTAAAGCACGGTAACAGGGACTTACCACTGATAAATTAGAATGACAAAACATGAGAAATTATCATTTTTGAGTTTACCATTCATAGTTTTCTTACATTTACAGTTGTCTATTTCTCTAGGTTGCTATTCCTTGGAATTAATGCTTCTTTAATATCTGAATAAATAGCTTTGATTTTAAATTATATTCTCCCTTACTCTAGAACAAGTTTTCACCTTTTCATGTGCTATAATTAGGTTAATTTTATATTCCATGCTTAGAGTTTGTGATTCTCTATTTAGCCATAGAATATGGATTACAATGGATATTTATGTGAAGAAAATAGATTAAAGTATGAACAGTGTACTAGTCCAAATGTTGGCAAACTACAGTCCACAGATAAATGATGGCCAATCCAGCCGGCTAGCTGTCTTTGTAAACAAGGTTGTATTAGAATAATGCTGTGCTCATTCATTTACATGTTGTCTATGTCTGTTTTCATGCCACAATAACAGAGCTGAGTACTTGGAGAAGAGACCAGCTGGCCTGCAAAGTCTAAAACATTTACTATTTGGCCCGTTACAGAAAAAGTGTGCAAATCCTTACAGGAGGATAATCTCTTTTTTATGTTCTTCCAGGTACCAGTCAAAAAGTTAAAAATTTTAATCTGCCCCGTCTCTGTATCCGGAAGTTCTTCCCAAAGAAGAAATGCTTTATCTTCGATCGGCCTACTCATCGGAAGAGGCTAGCCCAGCTTGAGACACTACATGAGGATGATCTAGAACGTGATTTTGTGCTACAAGTTGCAATCTTCTGTTCCTACATCTTTAGCAATTCCAAAATTAAAACACTTTCAGGAGGCATCAAGGTCAATGGACCTCGTGAGTCCCCTTCCCAGTCCTTTCACTCCTTGCTAAGATTATGGGAACATGGAATAATACCAACCTACTTTCAGCTTTGAAAAATGTAAAGTTACTATTATTGTTGTGTTAAATTCCAGAAGGCACCAACATTTCTAATACATTTTGTTAGTCAAATTTTTGGTTGGAAAAGAGCAAAGGCCAAAGGAAAAAGTTCTATCACTTAAAATTGCCTGTACTGCCCTATACAATAGCTCCTAGACAAATGTGGATATTTAAGCTTAAATGTAAATTAATTAAAATAAAGAAAATTTAAAAGTAATACTACATGGCTATATTTCAAGGGCTCATATCTACATGTGGCTAGTGGCTACTGTAGTTGACAGCACATAGAGAACATTTCCATCACTACAGAAAGGTTTCTTGGACAATGCTGTGCTAGATAAACCAAATGGAGGACTCCTTTTGATGGGGATAGTGTCAATTATTCCATAAATATTGATCAAATGCTTACTAAGGACAGGCTGATGATATACACACATAAATGAAATAAATAATGTTTCTTTCCTAGTGGTCTTTGGTATTAAATTGAATGCAAACATTCAATAAACACAGGCCTATGTAATCTAGAAAAAGAATTCTCAACCTTTGGTTATGCATACATATGATCTGAGATCTTCCCAAAGAGAAGGGTATAATTCAGTAGATCTGAGACAGGTGCTGAGAATCTGCATTTCTAGTAAGCTTCCAGGTGATTCTGAGAACACTGATGCTGTGAGACAAAGAGGTGGTAATTCAAGTGCTCAGAATTACACAGAATAGAGACTTTTCTTTACTCTACTTGCAACCAACATTACCATTTGTTCTCTATTTGTAGGCCTAGAGAACCTGGTGCTGACCTATGTCAGTGCCATCAACAGTGGGGATCTGCCCTGCATGGAGAACGCAGTCGTGGCCTTGGCCCAGATAGAGAATTCGGCTGCAGTGCAAAAGGCCATTGCCCACTACGACCAGCAGATGGGCCAGAAGGTGCAGCTGCCCACAGAGACCCTCCAGGAGCTCCTGGACTTACACAGGGCCAGTGAAAAAGAAGCCATTGAAATCTTCATCAGGAGTTCATTCAAAGATGTAGACCATCTATTTCAAAAGGAATTAGCGGTGATTTTTCTCTCAATTTATCTGGATTAGTGTCTTGGAAGGCAAAGTACTACCAGGAAATGAAAGGAGAATTTGTTTTCATAGAAGCAATTCTTACTAGCTTTTTAAATGGTGAAAACTACCTGTTTGTAATCATAATAATTAGATAGACCAATTTTATTATTAGACTGAAAGTTTTAAAACATTTTTCTTTTCTCGATAAAAAAGTCTTCATTTTAATTAAATGCATATAAGTGACAACCAGAGCTTCTAACCAAATTACATGCTCACTGTTATCAGACTGATCAGATATTCTAGCTAAAAGCAAAGAAAATTTTAGTGTTAGTTATTTTGAGCAGGCTTATTTGAAACACATTTATGCCATACGCAATTATTTGCTCAGTCTGAAAAAAGCAGAGGTTTACCTCCAAAGGTTGGCATAAATCTGTCAGTATACGGTGTGAACTTCACCTCCAAGGACAAGGGACTTCAGTAGAAAGGTGAAGTCCGGAGGAAGAATATGGTCTTCCTAAGATGCTGTCAGTGTTTCTAGAGGGCATAGAATTTTCTTTTCCTTTCTTTTTTTGAGAAACCTTTCAAGAAATTCTGAGATCAAGCTAACATCTGTTTCCTGTTACTCGTTTTACTTACTATTTTTACACTATAGGCCCAGCTAGAAAAAAGGCGGGATGACTTTTGCAAACAGAATGTGAAAGCATCATCAGATCGTTGTTCAGCTTTACTTCAGGATATTTTCAGTCCGCTAGAAGAAGAAGTGAAGAAGGGTATTTACTCTATACCAGGGGGCTATCGTCTCTTTATGCAGAAGATACAAGACCTGAAGAAAAAATACCTTCAGGAACCGAGGAAGGGGATACAGGTAACCACAATTTATCTGTTGACTATGGGAAACTGCTGAAGTGCCTCCTTGAATCACCAACGTGACCTAGTGTAATTGCACACAGATGTGCATTACCATCTGCATAGCATTCACACTTTCATTCAATAACATGTAGGGAGAGCCTGTTATACCAGATATTTCCAGGCGCTCATCAGAGACAGTGCAGCCAATTAATAATTGAGTTACAAATTGAATTACCGGGTCAATCACCAAGTTGTTGTCATCCACTATTACAGCTGCATTTTTTTTTGTGTTGCAAGAGACAAAAACCCAGTGATGCATAGCTTCTTAAACAAAAATGGTAATTCATCCGTTTAGGCTTCAAATTGGCTTGAAGGACAACTGGATCAAAGAGTTCACACAACATCATCCTCTCTTCCTCTGTCCATCGCTCCACATTATCCCTGTGCTTTCCTCCCTTTTCTCTTCCACCTCCATCTCTCTGATCTGCTTTCTGAAGGATGGCTTCATTCTCCAGCAAGCTCAGCCCCTGTGGAACCATAGCACCAATAGCTCCAAACATAGAGCCCTCAATGTCACAGGACACAGAATCCCCTTTTTCTCATTATCTATATTGCCCTTCTAAAAAAGACTCCACTTAGTGGGATGCTTTGGCCAGCCTGTCTGGAGCATGTGCCTGCCTCTGTGACATGGAATCTTGACCACCAGGCCCAGGAGGAGCATTTTCTAGAGGAAAAGATGGTGGGCACACAAACAGGAAAAAATGCGTACAGCCATTTCCTGATGCTCACTCTGTGTTCTCTGGGTTTTAAGGCTGAAGAGACGCTGCAGATGTATTTGAATTCCAAGGAGTCTGTGACTGATGCAATTCTACAAACAGACCAGACTCTCACAGAAAAGGAAAAGGAGATTGAAGGTGAGGAGCGAATCGAGAGATTTAATGGTCTCAAAAGCTCTGGAAAGTTTAAATAATTTGGGTAAACCTGGGACCCTTGAAATAGATCAAAAAGAGCAAAGACAGTCATACTCACAGAAGCGGTATCTGAGCAGGGCTTATGCGCTTAGCAGCAACATTAACAGGTAAGTGTACAGGGAAGAATGAGGCAACATGATAACCCCCACACAAGTTTTTCTTCTTCCTTTTTGTCTACAGTGGAACGTGTGAAAGCTGAATCTGCACAGGCTGCAGCAAAAATGTTGGAGGAAATGCAAAAGAAAAATGAGCAGCTGATGGAACAGAAAGAGAAGAGCTATCAGGAACATGTGAGACAGTTGACAGAGAAGATGGAGACAGACAGGGCCCAGCTGTTGGCAGAGCAAGAGAGGACCCTCGCTCTTAAACTTGAGGTATCCAATGGCATCACCTTGAGGTTGCTGTTTTTCTGTTTGCTCTCCATTCTCCCTGATCACAAACTCAGTATGGTGGGGAGAACATAAGCCCAGGGAATGACCTTACTTGCTCACTTGTAGTTTTCAGTTCCTGCATGTCTGGCCTGGCCTGGCCTGGCTGCTGCCTATTTCTGGTTACTGAAAGTTTTTTATTTGCATTTTTATCACATTCAGTCCTTTATCAGTATATCCTTCAATTAATGGCAGCTATTATCTGTAGGCATCATAAAATTATCTGTATCTCTTGCTTAATACCATATGAAGGAAGAATGATGTCCCTATTACTTAGGAGAAGAAACAGAGTTTCCAAAAAGACTAAATAACTTTTGTAGGGTCACATAGCTGGTAAATTGTCTTCATCACTCAGTAGAATTTGTAATGATTTTTTTCTGTTATACCTGGTATGAATTTAGCTATAAGAGAACTTTTATGAGCAGAATGACTCCTCAACCCTCACAATTATGTGATAATCCACCTCATCTGCCTGTTTTCTATGCCCTGCTCCCAGTTTGTGTTGAGTTGGGAGCTATGTGCAGAATTTCATTTGGTCAGTCTAGGACTTTGATTTCCTTCCCTACCTTTTGCCACCCCTGCTACCAAGTTGAGGAGGCTTAGATCAAATTTTCTGATCTAAGACTGAGACACTTCATTAGATTTTGAGAATATTTATTTCTGTGTCATTTGTAAATAAATTTACATAATAGTATGTGTGTAGGTGGGTATATAAAAAAGTCTATAATGTATAGATAACATTAGAAACCAAATATATGATTAAGATTGCCCACAAAGGTTGTGTACAATTAATGAGGGAAAAATCAAGACTGGTAATGTGGGTTCATAGATATATCAGGACATATAAGCTGAAACCCTTTCTTAGCTAAAGGTGACCCAGGAGAAGTAATCACAGAACTCAAATGCTTAAGAAAAGGTACAATGAAAATTAAGGGTAGAGAAAATCTCAAGAAGAAATTAAATACTAAAAAAAAAAAAATCAATGAATGTGGAAACTAGATAGCATATAGAGACTTAGTTAATGCTACATTTTATTCAGCTTCCATTTGTCCCTTTTTAGGAACAGGCCCGACTGCTGCGGGAGGGATTCCAAAATGAGAGCCAACGACTTCAAAATGAGGTACAGACTCTCAAGAGGAACATAAGCAGACCAAGAAAGAGATGTACCATAAGCTAAAAACATAAAGAGTAGAGCTTTCCCGTCACCCTTACCCAAGGCATAACTGAAACAATTTTAGAATTGCACTTGATAATCATTAGGTCTTGCATTGTAACACTAGAGGTTTGCAAATATAGGCAATATAATAATTAAAATCATGTTCATATTCTAAAATAATTGTCAATTGTGTAACAAGGATGCATTTCACCTTTGTAGTAGCACAGGAGGGATCATGAGCTGGTAAGTAAAAGTCTTGGGGCATAGTTGAGTACCAGTTTGGTCAAGTATAAACTTGGGTCAGGGACAACTCTCCCAGCTTCTTAGTGAAGACCATGTACAGTTCTCCATTATGTCAATGCCAGTCTATGAACAATAATGTGTTTTCAGGACATTATCAATGTATAATCCTCACTATGGACTTTAAGCTAAAGCAAACCACTTAATATTATATAAAGATCTAGAATCTAGGCCGGGCGTGGTGGCTCACGCCTGTAATCCTAGCACTTTGGGAGGCCAAGGCGGGCGGATTGCTCAAGGTCAGGAGTTCGAAACCAGCCTGAGCGAGACCCCATCTCTACCAAAAATAGAAATAAATTAATTGACCAACTAAAAATATATATACAAAAAATTAGCCGGGCATGGTGGCGCATGCCTGTAGTCCCAGCTACTCGGGAGGCTGAGGCAGGAGGATCGCTTGAGCCCCGGAGATTGAGGTTGCTGTGAGCGAGGCTGACGCCACGGCACTCACTCTAGCCTGGGCAACAAAGCAAGACTCTGTCTCAAAAAAAAAAAAAAAAAGATCTAGAATCTATATATGATCTACAACACAGGCAGATAGAAGAAACCATTAGCATGTATTGGAGTTGGATTGTAAACTTAAAAACTTTTGGGTCATAAACATAAAAACTTTTCCTTCTTGTTCAGTTCATTCAGATTATAAATTTAATGGGATACTTTAGATCTTTAAGCAATTGACATTGGATTAAACATAGTAACATGATGGCAATTGTGCACTGTGTATTTATAGTAATGTATAATTTGCAAAGATGGACTTGAAATGATAGACTTGAATTGAAGATGGATAATGTGTTAGAAAACTGAATTAATATAATTATTTGATTATGTATAATCCTAAAACTTAGGCTGGTATGTTGGGAAATAGGCTAAGAGATGTGATAAGTTTCAGAGGTTTTGCAGGGCTTTGCATTGAAGGAATCTGTGACATGTTAGTTCACAGAATAGAAGCTGCTTCTAACAAGGGAGGTATTGTTAGAGCAAAGCAATGTTTCTTCTTTCCTCCCGACCATCACCTTGAGCTTTTGTGCAAGGCAGAAGCTCGGGTTGGGCCCTTGGCGGAGAAGCTGATTAAAATGCATGCCCAGCAGATAACGTGCAGCTGGAACTATCTTAGACTCTGAGGCTATTCCTGTTTCACTCCTGACTACATATCTCTGTGTTTATAAGAAGTAGATTAGAATAGTACACAGACCCAGTGTTCTCATTTTATACATTTTATCTTTAATTTGTATGCTCAGCTAGGTCTGTTTCTAACTTATGGCTTAACATGCTTATCTTAGAAAAATTTTGTTACCATCTATTCTTGTAGACAGAATTAGGTAAGGTTCCCTGAAAATCTCAAAAAATGAACTGTATATGTAATTCTCTAACAAAAGACAACTATTTGCTGTAGTGTCAGGCGGGTGGGAGGGGGGAAGGGGGAATGGGTATATACAAACATAATGAATGAGATGTGCAACATTTGGGGGATGGTCATGCTTGAAGCTCTGACTCGAGGGGGGAGGGGGACATGGGCAATATATGTAACCTTAACATTTGTACCCCCATAATATGCTGAAATAAAAAAAAAATTAAAAATAATACAAATAAAAAAAATAAATACTGATGCAGGACTTTACTCATGGTCTCACAGTTTACAGGGATGCTGGAGACTCCCTAAGTCCCCATCATTTAAACTGCACTTTGTCTCCGTTTCAATCATTTCTCCGTGTATATTATTTCTTTCTTTATTTCCTATTATTTCCAAATCCCTGGAGATGGAAGAGTCACTTACTCTGACACAGGTCTTTTCCTAATTCTTAACAGTCATACTTGAAATCCTGCTGATTATTCCCAAAGAGAATGTAGAATGTTTTTGACATTTATGATCAATAGAATAATGCTCTTCTTATTACTTATTTTATGTAGACTTTATCCTAATTGTCAAAAGTCCTAAGTAAGTGGTCGATGTTTCTTGTAGCAATAAAGAATTAATTGTGAGCTAGAAATAAAATGTGCTTCACTAGGCCTCTTATTTTTTATCTTTTTTTCTTTTTTCAGCTTTTAAACAAAAAATAAGCTTTTAGTCTTCATAGCAATGGTTGGGCTACTTTTCTGTAAAATACCAGATACTAGGTATTCATGGCTTTGCAGATAATACAGTTTCTATCTCTACTAAACTCTGCATAGTGCAAATGTAGCCATAAATAATACATAAATACATGGGCTTGGCTGTGTTCCTGTAAAACTTTATTTTCAAAAAAAATGGCACCCATAAGCCATAGTTTTCAGACTTCGGCTTTATAGAAACATTAATGAGGTTCTATATGCCTGCCTTATGTTACTTACATTTATCAGAATAATATGGGGCCGGGTACAGTGGCTCATGCCTGTAATCCTAGCACTCTGGGAGGCTGAGGCAGGCGAATCATTTGAGCTCAAGAGTTCGAGACTAGCCTGAGCAAGAGTGGGACCTCATCTCTACCAAAAATAGAAACAGTTAGCTGTTTCTCACATAGTAGCTTACATGGTAGCACATGCCTGTAGTCCCAGCTACTCAGGAGGCTGAGGCAGAAGAATTGCTTGAGCCCAGGAGTTTTAGGTTGCTGTGAGCTAGGCTGACTCCACAGCACTCTAGCCCAGACAAGAGAGTGAGACTCTGTCTCAAAAAAAATATTAATTAGAGTGTATATATTAGAATCTTGAAGTAATTATATGGTGTTTCAAAATATTACATGATGAGGCCAGGTGCAGTGGCTCACGCCTGTAATCCTAGCACTCTGGGAGGGTAAGGCCGTGCAGATTGCTCAAGGTCAGGAGTTTGAGACCAGCCTGAGCAAGAGTGAGACCCTGTCTCTACTAAAAATAGAAACAAATTAATTGGCCTAAAAATATATAGAAAAAAATTAGCCAGGCATGGTGGCACATGCCTGTAGTCCCAGCTACTCAGGAGGCTGAGGCAGAAAGATCACTTGAGCCCAGGAGTTTGAGGTTGCTGTGAGCTAGGCTGACACCACAGCACTCTAGCCCGAGCAACAAAGTGAGGCTCTGTCTAAAAAAAAAAAAAAAAAAAATTACATGATGAGAAAAAAGCAAGGAAGCAGTTAGTGCCATTAAATCCATATTAATAACCATGCCTCTTCTGATTGCTTTGGAACCTTTTCTTACCTTGAACTCCCTCTGTCCAATCAGATAGCAAACACCTCCTTTCACAGCTGAGCATGGTGCTGCCAAGCAGTATTTCTTCACTCAAACTGAAACTTCTTAAGGGACCAGGTGAGACTATAGCATATTAGATAGAATGTTTATGCAGATATGCTTTATGTTTTCTTTTCCAAGCTGCATTGCCACAAAGGAGTAAATAAAATACATTTTTGTTAGTTGAAGAAACTTCATAGTAGAAAAGAATAACTCTGCCATCAAAATGAAATAATGATTTCTTTATTAATAATTTAAAAATAAGAAAATTAAAACTCCTCAAAATTAAGTTCCTTCCTTCCCAGCTTCGTAGAACCAATGTCCAGACCAGATTCTAAATCCTCTGACTTCTGGTTTAGTGCTTTTGTATAATATCTCCAGGAATGAAATATCTCTCTCTCCAGGGAGGCTAGTTGCTTTCACCAGTGGTCCTCAATCCTGCTGTGCATTAAAATCAACTTACTAAATATAAAGATTGTCTGGCCTCTACCCTTCCTCAGACTTTCTGACATAGTAGGTCTGAGAGTGTCATTGGGTGCAACGATGACAAGAAAATGGCAGCACAAGGTTATGCACTTTCAGTCTGTTGCAGCTACCACAGGTTAAGACCTACATTTGCTGGCCCTTATGGTGTTCCTGTGTCAAAAATCTTCTTAGTTTAGAGAAGTATATCTTCTCTTGTTTAAGTGGTAAGTGCTACTTTTCCTTCTCTGAATTTAGTTAAAGGAAATATAAGCTCCCCTGATCTAGGGGGAGGGAACACATTAAGCACCAAGATCTTGACAAAAGAACAGAAATCCCTCAGCGAAACTGGCTTATCTGTCTTACAAATGTCCAGGCTCGAGAATCAACTGAGCCAAAGAAAGTACATCTACCAAAAAATTAAAACACACATAAAGACTTAAGAAAACCTTTTAATCTTTGGTACATCAAATAGGCAAACTAAAAATCAACATTCTGAAACTCTATATGCATAATTTCAACAGTTCAAATGAATGGACTAATTTTTCAAAAAGCACAAAATACTAAAACTCACCCACAATAAAGTAGATAACCTAAGTTGTCATGTAACTTCTAAAGAAATTGAGTTTTCAGTAAAAAAAAATCTGAGAAGCAGTTCTCCAGATCCAGATGGCTTCTCCTGTCAAATTTTACTAAGCATTTAAAAAAGAAAGAATGACAATTCTACACAATTTCTTTCATAAAATACAAGAAGAGGGAACATTTCCCAGTTCATTCTGTGAGCATAGCATTATACTGATACCCAAATCAGAAAAAGATAGTAAGAAGAAGAAAACTACATGCCAATATCCCATATATATGAACATATATGCAAAAATCCTCAATACAGTATTAGCAAATCGAATCCAGCAATATACAAAAATAATGTACCTCAATCAAGTGGGATTTATCCTGGGAATGCCAGGCAGTTCAAGAAATCAATTAATGTAACTCACACACTAAAAGTCTACAAAAGAAAAAACACATGATTATATAAATAGATATCCCAAAAAGCTTGGCAAAATATGACATCCATTCATAAGAAAATTCAGCAAACTAACGGTACAAGTCAACTTCTTCAAGCTGTTAAAAGGCATCTACAAAAAAAACCTTACAGCTAATGCCATACTTCATGAAAGACTGAATGGTTTGCTCCTCAGATCCCGGAACAGCACAATAACATCCATTGTCACCACCCTTATTCAATATTATGCTGGCAAGAAAAGGACATAAAAGGCATACAGATCAGACAGGATAAAAAGAAAACTGTGCTCATTTGCAGACAGCATGAATTGCCAATGTATAAAATCCCAGGAAATCTAAAATAAAACTCTTAGAATTAGTAAGTGAGTTTAATACAATCAAAAGATACAGGTCAATACACAAAAATCAATCTTTAACTGTTTCTATATATAATCAATGAACAACTGGAAACCAAAATTTAAAAAACAATACCATTTCCAATAGCTTAAAAAAAAAATGAAATA